CCATTTAGCTTCGAAACTATCTCAAATCATTTTAGCTTTCTCCCAATACTAGATAAATGAGAGAGTTTTCTTGAGAGTTATTTTCTTTTTTTTTATGAAGAGAGAATTGCTATTGTTTTCTCCTTGTTAAATCGAGAGAAGTTGTAATTCCTATTTTCTCATAGTGAAATTCTTCTATCTTTGCCTGTGGTTTTTACCCTATATTATTTAGGGGTTTTCCACGTAAAATTTGTGTCTTCTTTACCTTCATCTTTATTTTCTCAAATTATCAATTGCGATTTTTCTATATACAATAGTCGTATTCCGCAGCAAAATTTATCCTGATTTTGATCTCTTTCAGGATCTCTTCAGTGGCAAGATGCAGAAAATTAGTAGGAAAAGATGAGGTTTATATGTTTTATAGTCGTATGTTTTGTCATTTCCTTTTGTTTTAGATTCTCATATACCCAATTTGTCATGCAATACTTCATCTCATTGTATGTCTTTTTATGTTAATAAAACATCCATGTGGCATGCACATTTGTGGCATGCTTCCTTATTGAAGTTGCATATATGTCTTTGTCTGATTGTGTTCTTGATGCTTCCACTATGGATAATTGTTCAGTTTTTCCTTTAGCTAAGCAAGTTAGGTTATATTTCCCTATCAGTCAATCTAGGCAGAAATTCCTTTTCAGTTGATTCATATGGATTTATGGGGTCCTTATAAGGTGTCTACTCATAGTGGACATAGGTTTTTTTTAACAATAGTTGATGATTGTACTTGGATGACATGGATATATTTGTTGAAGCTTAAGTCTGATGCTATATTGTCTTTTAAAAAATTCTTCTCTTTTATTCAAAATCAGTTTTAGTCAACTGTTAAAATTATCAGAAGTGATAATGGTTCTAAATTTTTTAATTCAGAATACTCTCCTTTATTTTCTTCATTAGACATTCTTCATCAAAGTTCACGTGTTAGTACTCCTCAACAGAATGACATTGCTGAAAGAAAACATAAACATCTCTTCGAGGTAGAGCACTTGGGTTTCATTCAATAGTTCCTTTGAAATTTTGGTAAGAGTGTGTTTTGACTGCATGTTATCTGATTAATAGACTTCCTTCTGTCATTCTTAGTTGGAACTCTCATTTTGAATTACTTTATCATAAACCTCCATCTTTATCTCACTTAAGGGGTTTTTTTTATTGTCTAGGTTATACCACTCAACCCAATTACAGTGACAAATTCTCTCCAAAAGATATTCCTTTAGTGTTCATGGGATATTCTTCCACTTAAAAAGGTTGTCTCATATTTAATCTAGTTTCTAAAACTTTTTCTATCAATAGGGATGTTCATTTCCATGAGAACCATTTTCCTTTTTATTTTGCAGAGTTTTCTTCTAAATTGTTTCTCACTCAACCTTTTGTTCATAATTCTCAGTTTTTGATTCTTAAACATTTGTCTCCTAATTCTTCTGCTTCAACAAATATACCATCGCCTTCATCACCATAGGGGTCTGTTTTGGCACTAACTCGCAGTTTACTTCTAATAATTATTTCGTTTCTCAGCCTGTTCCATTGGATTTTTCAAGTGTTTTTTCCTTACCTTCTGAAGTTATTCACCTTGATTAGGATGTCATACCTCAATCAGATTAGACTATTAAGAGGTTTTCTAGGGTGTCTAAACCTCCTCTTTGGCTGAATAAGTATGTGTCTTACTAATCTTCTACCTCTAGTCAGTATTTAATTTTTATAATTATTTCTTATACTCATCTTCCCATACATACACAGTTGTTTCTTTCTTCTTCCACTTTTGTAGTAGAATTGTCCTCTTATTCTGAAGACATTACAAATCCCTTATGAATTCGTGTTACAGAAGAGGAAATTCAAGTACTAGAGTTAAATAACATATAGAGTGTTCCTTTGCCTTTTCGTAAGGCACCCATTGGCTGCAAGTCGGTGTACAAAGTGAAATAGCGATCTAATAAAGAAATTGAGCGATATAAGGCAAACTTGGTGGCTAAAGGGTGTAATCAGAAGGCAAAAATAGATTATGTGGAGACTTTCTTGTCGGATTCCAAGCTTGTTATAGTTGGATACGTGTTAGTCCTTGTTTCTTTGCGTAACTGGCCTCTGTTCCAGATGGATGTATATAATGCCTTTCTTTAAGGTAATTTATTGGAAGAAGTATACATGAGGATGCTAGAGGGATTATGTAGTCAGGGGAAACACATGATTTGTAGACTGTGTAAGTCCATTTATGATCTTAAGCAAGCGTCTAGGCAGTGGAATGTAAGATTATCTGATTCTCTGATTGATTTTGGATATGTACATGGTAAATTTGATTATTGTCTTTTTACAAAGAAACAATAAGCTATAATGGTTATTGTAATTGTTTATGTGGATACTTGTTGATAACTGATAGTGATGCAGTCATGATAGATAATTTTAAAGGGATACTAAATGCCAGTTTTAGAGTGAAGGATATAGGGGAGCTTAAATACTTTCTTGATTTTGAAGTGTTTCGATCCAAAGAATGTATATTATTGTTAAATCAGAGGAAATATGCTCTTGAACTTGTTGAGGATGCTGATTTAGGGGGAGCTAAGCTAGTTTACTCACCAATGGAGCAGAATGTTAAGTTCACTACACATGATTTTGGTTTACAGTCTAATGGTACTTGTGAGTGGTTGATAGTCATGGTCAAGAACTGCTGGAAGAAAATAAGGTCTTTCAAAGTTGCCAGAAAGACTTGTATACTTAACCCACATCAGACTAGACATCACTTATGTGGTTCATCACTTTAGTTAGCTTATGCAACAACCAGAAATGTGTCATATGGAATCAACTCTTCTAGTAATTAAATACATTAAGAAAACTCCAGGACTTGGAATCTTGTTGTCATCTTCAGGGCAGTTTCAGTTGGTTGCTTATTATGATGTTGACTGGGGAGCTTGCCCAATGACTAGTAAATTGGTTACTGGATTTTGTGTTAAGCTTGAAAACTCATTGATTTCTTGGAAGTAAAAAAAACACCATAATAAGGTCATCAATGGAGGCTGAGTATCGAAGTATGGTCATGACAGCAGCAGAAGTTGTTTGGCTGAGAGGCTTGTTGAAAGAAATAGGTGTTGAAGATTTACCTGCAGCCAAGCTCTACTGTCGTAACAAGGTTCCACTTCAGATTGAAACAAATCTATTTTTTCACGGAAGGACTAAGCACATCGAGATAGATTGTCACTTTATATGTGAGAAGATACAAGGAGTAATTCAGACGAGTCATATATCTTCCATAGAGTAGTTAGTTGACATTATGACAAAAATGCATTAGGAGCAATGCAACATGATTATTTGTTGCTCAAGTTGGGAGTTAAAGACATCTTTAGACTGCCAACTTGAGAGGGAGTGTTGAAAGATGGTTCAATTGAATTAGTTTGTTCGCTAGTTAGTTTCAGTATAGCTGGTGTTTATACAGTTGTAATCCATTTTTAATTGAATGAACACGAGGTATTCTTTACATGACACGTGTAAATTTGAGACAACAACATCATGGCCCATGGGGTATGTATGTATGTATGTATGTATGTATGTATGTATGTATGTATGTATGTATGTATGTATGTATGTATGTATGTATGTATGTATGTATGTATGTATGTATGTATGTATGTATGCATGCATGTATGTATGTATGTATATATGTATATTTAATTTCTTTTTGTATGTAGATAACATGACTACTATGGGTATTTTCTCTTTGTTGTTTTTCATATTTCTTGTTGCAAAGGATCATGCTAAACAAAACCATCTCCGTAATTATTGTATTAAGAAAACCTACGATGTAATATTCTTCGGCTTATAGTTTTGGTTTTTTCAGTGTTTGTTTTAGGAGTTAAGTATAAACCCTAAATTAATTTTAACTCAAATAATAGATTAATAGACAACTGGTTTCTTCGGCACGGAATCCATGATTTTCCTCACAAGGTTGTCAGGTTTGTAAATTCATTGATACGCTTTTTTATTTCTTCTCAATGAATGCATATTTTCATTTTTGTTTTTAAGCACTGTTGTTGATTCAATGAATGCAAATAATGTAGCATATTCTTCATTGGTTGTGATTCGTACTTCAATTTTTATGTCGTGGTTCATTTTATAAGGAGAGTGGTTTGAATATAGTAGAGGTGGTGAGGTGTTTGAAAAAAATTTAAAATTAGAAAGTTTTTGGGATAAATTAAAAACAAAATTATTATTTGAGGATTTATTTGATATTTTAACAATAGTTAAGGGTGAAAATAAATATTAACCCTTTTTCAATGTTGTTATGTTATCAATTTAACAGGAATAACAGGGGAGTGACCATTTTATTATAAACTAAAAATGTCAGCGATCAATTTATTATTTTTAAAATTATAGTGAAAAAAAAACTTTCTAAAACATTAATAAAATTTTTATAGTTTAGTCTATAAATATTTTAACATCTCAAGCATCATATAATAGAACATTAAATATTTCCCAATTACGATGGACACTAGAACATCGTTACGCAAAACAAGAATATGAATTTACAAAATAAATTATATTAAAATTAATTTGTCTTATTCTACTCGGGCGAGCTTTTTTTTCGCTGGATAGTTATATTATACGACAATCTTAACATACTGTTAAAGAAATGTCCTATTAAAAATATTAATATTTTTTTAACATTTTCAGTAAAACACTATCTAAAACATTAGTTTTTTTTACCAGAAATATTAATTTCGCTACTTAATTTCCTATAAAAAAAATAACATTTTAGGTAACCAATATTAACATTTCTGGTAGAAAAAATAATATTTTACGTAACGCTTTACCCGAAATGTTAAACATTTTAAGTAACTACCAATATTAACATTTTTTGATAGAAAAAATAATATTTTAAGTAACATTTTACCGAAAATATTAAAAAAATATTAATATTTACAATAATATCTTTTCTTGACCGTATATTAAGGATGTTATAACTTAGACATCTTTTTTCGCCCCCACTTACATTGAGGTACTAAAATACTAACCAAGTACATTAAAGGAAATAACACGTCGTTTAAGCAAATATAATTGTAGGCGCAGAAAACAGTAGGGCAACTCGAGCAACAATGGCAATACTGCCTGCCAGTACATACAACAAAGTTAGATCAATGAAAATATATAACTACTAGGGTAAATTATGGATCTAGTCTCTTACATATTTTCGCAGTTTCGTTTGAGCATCCAACTATTTTCTTTTAAAAAGCATACCTAATATTATATTTTAGTTCCATCTTAATCATCTATCGATAAAAAATTAATAATAATGATGACATGTCACCAGAAGATAATAATAGATCATCATTGAAAATAAATAAATAATATGTCAACTATTTTGTTTATTTTTTAATGGTAGGTGACCAAAACATAATCAAAACATAATATTAGATATGATTTAAACATATAGTTGAGTGACTAAAACGAAACCATAAGAATAGATAGTACCTAGTTTACCCCAACTATTAACATTTCCATAAAAAATATGTTGCTTGTCTTTGTATTTGAATAAACTTTGAGATTTTATCTTTGTACTCAAAAGGTTCAAAAATTAAATTATCTTACATTTTTTATTTAAAAATCTTAATGCAATCGTTAAAATTTTGGACTCAAAGCTACAGAAATTATTTGCATTTTACATACATGTGGTAACACCAAAACAGTTGCAGATGCAGAGAAAACTTCAAGAAATATCTTAAGAACAAATAATAATAAAGAAGCAGGCCACAAAGTTTGGTAGAGATAATAAGAGCACAATGGAGATATATCATACCTGATGAAGTTGAAGCTGTAGACGGGATAACAGGAGACTGCGGAGCAACAGGAGGATTATTGAGTCCATTATTCATAAAACTGTGGAAAATAGTGCAGCAACTTAGGCGACTACACTATGACTATATTAAAAAAAAGACATAATATCAAAATTAACCCTAATATTTATAAAAAATGATCATTTTGATCTTTATTTTTTTAGATTATTTTAGCTCAATGTTTCATTTTGGTGTGAAAAAACCTGTTTATGAATGAAAAACATTAGTTAACAAACGGATATCACTTTAAAATAGGACTTTTTACCGTAAAATAAAACGTTGAAGGCCAAAATACTCTAGAAATAAAGAATAAGAGTCAAAGTGACTATTCGGTAAAATGTTAGGGCTCTTGCCCCAAAATAATGTATTAGAGGTCAAAATTCAGGAAAAAAAATAGTCTAGCCAAAATAATCGTTTTGATAAATGTTAGGGCTAATTTTGACATTATACCATGAAAAAAATGAGAACAAGAATGGTGGCGAGGGTCATGAGTTAGAGGGTGATATCATAAAAGAAAAACCTGATAGGATTTAACAGTGAAAAGGAACCATTAACTGGAATATCTCCTTCTAGCCGATTATTTGAAAGATTTCTGCATCAGATGATCAAATAAGCCACCCCATTATATATTGTGCTCTTGAAGCTAAGATAATACAGCTAATTTCGAAAAGAAAAGAAAATTTTCTGATAGCAACACTCACAGAACTTGCAGTAATCAATAGTGTTTAAGGACATAGGAATTTGACCTGTCAACGAGTTGTTGTTGAGACGCCTGCTCCACAAAAAGAAAGCATGAATTACATTGCACGTTGTGTAACATGATAGAGCACATATACTAGTATATCCACATCAGAATGGGAGGAGATGAATGAGGTAATCTTCGTATGATGTAAATGAATCAGATTTGAACGAATAATGTTTTATTTGTGTTCGTTTATCTATTTTTGAAGGTGTTTAAGTTCTATTTGCTTAAATTTGTAATATCATATTCGTGTTCATTTGTTTATTTTAAAAATGTTCGTGTTCCGTTCGTTTAGCCTTAGTAAAGATGTTTGTTTGACGTTCATTTCATGCAAAGAAACATGGTGAAATTACACCACTAGTCCTTAAGCTCCTCATGCTTCATAATTTAAACTCCAAAATTCATCTTATATTCAATTTAGTCTCTACATTCACCAATATTTAAAATGTAAAAATAAAAAGGAAAGGAGAACCGGATGAACGAGTTTATAAACGATCCAATAAAAAGCTTATAAACGATTTTGTTTGTGAACATAAACGAACCGAACATACCTTTATTCATGTTCGTTCGTTTATTAAACGAATATAAAAATTTTGTTCAGACTATTTAGTTTAACAAACGAACATAAACGACCATCATATAAATGGTTCATGAACGGTTCATCACACCTTCCGTTATTATACTTCTAAGTCTTCGGTTCAACTTGTAGCAATGAACTAGATATGCTTTTGAGTTTCGATTGAACCAATCCTATTCTGTTTTTTCCATCCTTGCTAGACGTCGAGAGGCCTTATTAATAAACGAGTAATTTTAGGAATCTTCATCCAATTATGTCCAGATAAGTCTATCTATGCCCATACTTCAGCTAGCAACACATAAAGGCCTTCCACATATGCTAAAACAAACGTATGACGAGAGCAAAAGCACAAAGAAATATTAATGAATTAGGTACTTAAAAGAAATATGAAAAGTGTTCGTACAAGAAGAGCAGCTTTCGAAGCTTGCCCAGAGTTGCTGGAATGGGTCCGGTTAAAGCATTCGAGAAAAGATCCAAGCTCACCAAGCTCGTCAAGTTTCCAAGTTCCTCCGGGATTGTCCCAGATATGTTATTATTATAAAGCTCCCTGTCATAAACAATTGACTGAGATTACTTGGTGTGTTTGAATGAATGTGAAAAAACCCAATAGCCATACTTACAGATACTGCAAATTCGCAAGCTGCCCGAGTTGCGGCACCAATTGGCCAGATAGATTTGCATCACCAAGATCACTAAATTGACAAAACGAAAACCATTTATCACAACCAAGTAGATACAAGGAAGTACAACCAGCTGAAAGGTAATATAAAAGTAAAACTTACACTCTTGCCACACTGTTTTTAGCATTACATGTAATGTTGTACCATCGGCAAGGATTGTGAAGCACTTTATTAGGGTCAGCCAAATTGATCTTCAATGCATACAGCGCGTCACCTGCGAGTCATTACAAAAGCTTCAGCAACCGTGTTTCACAATTTGCTACAATGGGGGATTTCTAAACCGAAAACCTCAGTAGAGATTAAATCACAGGTTAAAAATAATGGAATAGGCGGCCAAAACTCCACCATATTCATCAAAATGAACATAATTCCAATTAAAAACATCGGAATGCAGAAGAAAATAACGAGAAAGAACCTTCAGCGTTGCCCGCAACTCTGAAAACCAAAATCAACCATAAACAAACGGAAATAAGCCGCTCCATCAATTTTTTTCTTTTGTTTTCGGTTTCTTCGATTAAAGAGCCGAATCAGCTGAGAGAAAACAATGTAGCTGGAAACAAAAACAACTGATTGAAGGTTAAAGAAGACGAAGAGAGAATCTATGTTTTGTAAGCGGGAAAGAAGAGAGAAAATACGAGGAAAGGATTGGAGGTGATAAGTGAGTCACAAAGTCGTTGAAGTCTTCGTTTGATTTTGATTGATTCCTTTCGACGGAATTTACACATTTTGAATTCTAATAACTGGTTCAAACCATTTATTCCGTCGAAGTCAAATTTATCAATTTTTGTTTAGTTGAAGTCATATTTATTCGGGTAAACTGAATAAATGGTCATCAAAGTTTTAGGACTCTTGTATTTTGGTCACCCAAGCTTTAAAAAATTCAATATAGTCACTAAACTATTAGTCCGCTTTCAGTAAGGTCCTGACGTTACCTCCCGTTAGTTTTATCTGATGTGACATGTTACTGTTATTTTTCAGGTGAATAAAATAATCCTTCTAACTTATTTCAGCTTAATAAAAAAAATTCATCACCTGAATTGACTAAAAACCATAAAAATTAAATTTATTTTTCTCTTATTCTCTTTGTTTGATCAACAATCAAAGTTGGCAATGGAGACGCCAATTGCAACCTCAACATACACAGATTGGATGAATAATAATACTGAAAAGAGGTTCTTTGTGTGTGTTAATCATAGGCATGTATTTAGAAGATGTCGTAACCGGTTTTCGCCCGGCACTAATTTTTATTTGGAAGGAAAAATAAAGAGATAAATAAATGATTTTGAAAAAAATAATGTTTTGAGAGTCGCCATTAGCCTTTTAGGTAGGTCAAATACCCAAAAACAATCTTTTAAAATAGTTTTTAAGAAAACATAATTTAAAAGATAAGTTGATCTGCGTATAACCAATGATTTTAGTTAGAAAGGAATTCGTGATCGTTTACATTTAGGGAAGGATTAGCACCCCTATAATGCCCAAAATTGGTACTCATTAATTATAAATTGTCTCTATTATTAGAAATTTAAAAATTCAAAGATATATTTAATTTATAATCCTATTTATTTTGAATTTATTACTATAATTTTGAGAAAATTTATTAATTTATATATATATATATATATAAATAAGATATTTATTTATTTAGAAATATCAGAAAAGGGCTACTAGGTGCTTTAAGACATCTATTTTCTTAATATTAAAAATAAATAAATATTAATAAAATATTTATCTAAAATAATTAAAACATATATATAATTTATAAAATTGAGATATTTATTTATTTAAAAATATCAGAAAATGGACACCCAGTTACTTTAAGACTGCCCTTTATTAATATTGAAAATAAATATATATTTAAATATAATTATTTTTCTTAAAAATAATTTATAAAATTAAATTTATAAATAGAATTTAAAAAGAAAAACAAATAAATAAATATTATTTATTATATATATATATATAATAATAATAATAATAATTAAATATATTGAAAATAAACATATAAAATTAAAATATAACTAAACAGTGACTAAAATAAATAAAATTAAAACTATATATTTAAAATATAAAAAGAAATAAAACTTGTAATTAAAAATAAATGAAAATATTAAAATTAGTGACTAAATTATAACATATTAAAATTAAATATCTAATTAGTAATTAATTATTTAAAATTACAGTGGCTAAGCATGCTATTTTACCCATTTATTCATTTAGTGACTAAAATAAAATTATATCAAATTAGTATATCAAATTAAAATAAATTAAAACATGCGATCCAGGTTAAATATTAATTAATAAAATTAGAGGACTAAATATGTTATTTTACCTAAAATATCTATTATTATATAAAGGACTAAATTATAAATTAAAAAAAATCATAGCCCGAATTAAAAGAATCTAAAATTTGATTCTAGTGACTATAATGTAAAGTTACAAGGTTAGGATGACAATGGGTATAATTAACCCATTTAAAATTACACATATACCCCTCCCAAAACGGTGTCATTTGGGAAGGGGTATTTAAACCCTAAAATGGTCAGCCCTTGGCCATTTATCTCATTCTCTTCTTTCCATCTTTTCTCTCTAACTCAGAGAGTTTAAAAACTCTCTCGCCTCTCTCTAGGATTCCCTCACCAGAGGGAATCCGGTCACCGGCCGAGCCGTCTGCCGCCGTAAACCTCGTCGCTGGCCACCACCTCTGGTGGCCGAAAAATATTATTTTACACTGAAATAAAGCCTCGATTTTCCCAAGGCTGAATCTGGCCTTAGTTTCCTCTAAAAGACTCCTAATCAGAGTATATCTAAGAAAATACCTTCGGTATTTTCAGTGTTCCGGCGGCATTTGGTGTTTCCGGCGATGATCGAGGCTTCAAGGGTAAGTTTTTCTTCTTCTCTTTCTTTTTTTTTTTGAATGGTTGCTGTTGGTTTTCTGGCTTGCTTTCTGTGTTTCTCTTGCAGGCTCGGTTGATGATTTTATAACCATCATCGGTGTTCGTCTTGGACCGGATAAAAGGTTGAAGCTTGGTGAGTCACCGAACTTGTGGTAACTCACCGAAGAACGACGACGCGTGTGCGGCTGGTAACATTTATGGAGTCCTCGTTTGGGTGTCGTGGCAGCGAGCATCGACAGTGGCGGCGATTGGCTGATGAACGACGACCATGTGGCCCTAGGGTATCATAACCCTATGGTTTCTGTTAGGGCCATCTGGACCATTGGATCTTAGTCAGATCCAACGGCTAACAAGAAGAGGCGGCTGGAGAAGAAAATGAAAACCCTAGATGGGTTTAGGGTTTGTTATTGGGCCAGTCTGGGTTGGTCTCTTGTAACTGGGCCGATCTAGTTTTGGGTCTGTAATGTAAATAATAATAATATTAATAATAATAAAAAATAATAATAATATAATTATAAAATAATAATAGTAATAAATAAAATAATAATAACAATAATAATATAATAATAAAAACAAATGGATAAAAAAATTAGTATCTTCAGCTGTCCCTCTTTGCTAATTCTTGTGTTAACAAGAATAGGCAAAGACGAAAAGATAATAAGTTTTTTTTATCCATTTGACTTTACTTGATTATGATGGCAATGTTGAACAAATTCTTCTTTGGGATTAGTTCTTCTCATTATGAACTTTTCCACTGGGAATGACAATTTATCTCCTTCTATGATGTAATTTAGCAAAAAGTTGAACAAATTCTTCTTATTATGAATTTCTTCTTCTTTTCAGATGAGTTCTTCTCATTATGAAGTCCTTCTGGAAATACTGATCTTCAAAAGAGGGGTTGTTAATTTGGCTTCATATGTGATGAATTAAGGCAAGGTTGAACAAGTTCTTCTCATTATGAACTTCTTCTCCTTCTTCATATGAGTTCTTCTCATTATGAATACTTCTGGAAATGTTGATGTTGATCTATCTTCTTCTGCGATAGAGTCATGCAAGGGTTGAACAAGTTCTTCTCATTACGAATTTCTTCTTCTTCTTCAGATGAGTTCTTCTCATTATGAACACTTCTAGAAATGTTGATGCTGATCTATCTCCTTCAGTGATAGAGTCATGCAAAGGTTGAACAAGTTCTTCTTATTATGAACTTCTTCTTCCTCTTCAGATAAGTTCTTCTCATTATGAACTTCCTCTAGAAATATTGATATTGATCTATCTCCTTCTGTGATAGAGTCATACAAAGGTTGAACAAGTTCTTCTTATTATAAACTTCTTCTTCCTCTTCAGATAAGTTCTTCTCATTATGAACTTCCTATGGGAAAGTTGATCCATCGAGTGATGAATTCAAGCAAAAGGTTGAACAAATTCTTCTCATTATGAACTTCTTCTTCCTTCTTCAGATGAGTTCTTCTCATTATGAACTCTTCCGAAATGTTGATCCATTGAATGATGGATTCGAATCTTTGCTAAAATCTTTGAAATTCCTGTCAAAAGTTCAACATAGATAAAATGAATGAAAATGCCCCTATTTTGCAAAAGTCTAAATATGATGCATGAATGTTAAGTTCATCTTTATTTGATTTCAAAGTGGTGAACTCGGTCTTTCTTAACTTGTGTAGAAATCCAATAAATCTTTCTTCTTTGAAAAGAGAATCTATCTTCTTTGAAGAGAGAATCTATCATCTTTGAGGAATGTAGATGTACATATGCCAAACTTAGTAGATAAAGCAAGAGAGAAGTATGTTTTGATTGGACTCTTGAAACACATCATAAGGAGGATTATCCTAATTCCTTTCATGTCTCCACATCTAATCAGATTTCAAACAAAGCCATTCAGACCATATCATATCGAGATGCTTAACAACAATCTTCTATTCAATCTTAGTTTGCTCCACTAGTTTTTTGTTGTTAAAATTTCTGATTCTCTTCTATGAAATGAAATCTTCATCATATCTCATTTCTAACCTTGAGGTTGAAGAAGACATACTTCATCTTAGATCCATAAATGGAAATACCATATGATCGCAACATTGGTTCAACACCATAATTACTTGTTCAGCACCATAATTACTAGTTCACAAAACATTTGACAACACATTCATCCTTTCCTGTGGCTTTTGTCCATTTCTTTTCTGCTTTTCTGTTTTACTTGCTTCTAAATGACTCTTATGATTGGTAATAACTTGTTCGCTTTTCAACAGTGATTGCAAATGTTGATAAGACTTACTTTGGATTCCATGCACTTAAAAGTATTAACATAAAGTGATAGCCAGAAATCTTTTGCTTATTTCAAAATTATGTTAATTCATTTACAAGATGTTTATATGAAAGTATACATTTAATTTCGAAAATAAATTGAGAGAAATAAAAAAGATAATCTTGAATAAATAATAAATATATAAAAATGCATTCAAAGTCATGTCAAACATAGGAATAATAATAAAAATTCAAATGACTCAACAAATTATTAGCATAAGTATTTCTAAACTAATCAACTCGATATAATTTAGAGCACTGAGGTAAACTTATGTCTGGAAGATCTTGAACGTTGCCAGAATGCTTGTAGATGTGAAGTTCCTCCCAAAATATCAAGCTCTTAAGAGGGTTTAATTGCCAGATGCCTAATATCAACATG